AACCGGGTTTCGAAGAGATTGGCGGTACAGGACAGCAGACGGAATGCGTGAATTTTACGCAGCCTCTACCCATGGGGGTGGCTCTGCTTTTTCTCCAATGATCCTGACGTCTGTGCGGACCGGCTTAAAGACGTGGTGCTTCAGGGGATGAAATTATTTATTCCTTCTTCTCAAGTGCCCGTTGGGGGTCGCAGCAAGCCCTGGTATAATAAAGCCAGTAGGGATGCTGCACACCTCAAGCGGCCCGCATACGCGGCATGGAATAATGCTAGGAGACAGCTACCATCATACCGAATCCCCGAGGAACTCTGCATGTGGATCGCTAGCTTTTTGGATGGGCGGAGCATCACGGTCGTTCTAGACGGTGGCTGCTCCGATACCATAACCATTAACGCTGGCGTTCCACAAGGTTCGGTGCTTTCCCCCACGCTTTTTATCCTGTATATTAATGACATGCTATCTATTGATGGCATGCATTGCTATGCAGATTACAGCACGGGAGATGCGCGATATATCGACCATCAGAGTCTTTCTCGGAGCGTAGTGCAAGAGTGACGATCTAAGCTTGTGTCTGAAGTGGAGAACTCTCTGGGGCGCGTCTCCGAGTGGGGTGAATCGAACTTAGTCCAATTCAACCCGTTGAAGACACAAGCTTGCGCGTTCACTGCAAAGAAGGACTCCTTTGTCATGGTGCCACAATTCCAAGGAGTACCCCTGCAACCTTCCACGAGTATCGAGATACTTGGGGTCGACATTTCGAGCGATGTCCAGTTTCGGAGTTTCGGAGTCCTCAACAGAGCGAAGCGGTACTTCACGCCTGGACAAAGACTTTTGCTTTATAAAGCACAAGTCTGGCCTCGCGTGGAGTACTGTTCCCACCTCTGGGCTGGGGCTCCCAAATACCAACTACTTCCATTTGACTCCATACAGTAGAGGGCCGTTCGGATTGTCGATAATCCCGTTCTCACGGATCATTTGGAACCTCTGGGTCTGCGGAGGGACTTCGCTTCTCTTTGCATTTTGTACCACATATTCCATGGGGAGTGTTCTGAGGAATTATTTAAGATGATTCCATCATCTCGCTTTTACTATCGCACCGCCCGCCACTGGAGTAGAGTTCATCCATACTACCTGGAGCCACTGCGTTCATCCACAGTGCGTTTCCAGAAATCTTTTTTGCCACGTACCATCCGGCTTTGGAATGAACTCCCCTCCACGGTGTTTTCCGAGCGCTATGACTTGTCCTTCTTCAAACGAGGCTTGTGGAGAGTACTCAACGCTAGGCAGCGGCTTGGCTCTGCCCCTGGCATTGCTGAAGTCCATGGGCGACGGTAACCACTCACCATCAGGTGGGCCGTATGCTCGTCTGCCTAAAAGGACTATAAAAAAAAACACCTTCATACAACACGGATATCCATAAGAAAACCATTGTATTTCCGTTTTTGTAACAAGTAATTATCAATTTTATTCATATTAACGAAAACATCGTATCAAAAAACCTTCTAATGCTGGGAATTTTAATGAACAGTGTGGCATAGATTTTTTACAATTCATGCCATGGAATTCGAATCCACGCGATCGCCAAGTCGTCGCTCCGCATGAGAGCGTTGTTCAAACAAGTGGCAGTCCTTGATCAGAGAACAAGATCCACATCCAACCGCTACATCAACGGAGTTAGTAAAGGTAGGTACCTAGTATGTTTGGCTAGACATCAACCCAGCGAAAAGTACTGCGGTGCTATTTCAGAGGGGAAGCTCCACACGGATTTCCTCCCGGATTAGGAGGAGGAATCTCACACCCCCGACTATTCTCTTTGGACAACCCATACCCTGGGCCAGGAAGGTCAAGTACCTGGGCGTTACCTGGATGCATCGATGACATTCCGCCCGCATATAAAATCAGTTCGCGACCGTGCTGCGTTTATTCTCGGTAGACTCTACCCCATGATCTGTAAGCGGAGTACAATGTGCCATCAGAACAAGGTGACACTTTACAAAACTTGCATAAGGCCCGTCATGACTTACGCGAGTGTGGTGTTCGCTCACGCGGCCCGCACACATATAGACACCCTCCAACCCCTAAAATCCCGCTTTTGCAGGTTAGCCGTCGGGGCTCCGTGGTTCGTGAGGAACGTTGACCTACAGGACGACCTGGGCCTCGAATCAATCCAGAAATACATGAAGTCAGCGTCGGAACGGTACTCGTCGTACCATACGGTACGTCGATAAGGTTATGCGTCATGATAATCGCCTTATCGTTGCCGCTGCTGACTACTGCCCGAATCCTGATCACGCAGGAGCTAGTCACCGTCGGCGCCCTAGACACGTCTTTACGGATGCATCAGATCCAATAACCTTTGCATTAGACGCCTTCAGCTCTAACACTAGGAGCAGGGTTAGGGACTCCGGTAACCGTACTTGTCGAACTCGACAAAGAGTTCGACGTGCAACCTAACCCATGCATCAGCTCGCTGAGTTTCTCGCCGGAACTTCTCAGCCGTTCGCCATTCCGATCCGGTAGTAGATTCATTCGCGAAGCAGTTGCTCTTGAGTTGTTAGGTCTCCTTCGGANTTAGACGCCTTCAGCTCTAACACTAGGAGCAGGGTTAGGGACTCCGGTAACCGTACTTGTCGAACTCGACAAAGAGTTCGACGTGCAACCTAACCCATGCATCAGCTCGCTGAGTTTCTCGCCGGAACTTCTCAGCCGTTCGCCATTCCGATCCGGTAGTAGATTCATTCGCGAAGCAGTTGCTCTTGAGTTGTTAGGTCTCCTTCGGAGGCGCTCGGACAACTGTTAGCAAATCCCACCCCTCCTGGCTGAGCCTTGGCTCGCCCACCTGTCCTGGTGAAACTGGAAAGGCCTCAGGGCCACCAGTAATCCTTCAATCCTAAAAAAAAAAGGATTTTTGGAACTTATAATCATAATATATCACAAACACATCATAATGCAATAATATATCACAAACACATCATAATGCCTTATTAAAACAAGTACACAATTAATTCGTTATTAACTTTTCAAATGTTCTCCAAAAACTGCTGATAACAAAACCGCCATACAAAAGGATGTGCACTTTAAAAGTCATAGCAATTTGTTGAGAGGTGGTTTTGTAGCTTTATCAGGCGCTACATGTCATGTCTGTGTTTCTGATAGTTTTTATTTAAAGTCAATCATGCGTTTCCAAAGATATTTTTGTCACGTACCATGCGGCTTTGGAATGAACTCCCTTCCACGGGGCTTTCCAAGCGCTGTGACGTGTCTTTTTTCAAACAAGGCTTAGGGAGAGTGCTCAGCGGTAGACAACGGCTTGGTTCAGTACGTGGCATTGCTGATGTCCATGGGCGACGGTAACGACTCAACTTCAGGTCGACCGTGTGCTGTCTGCTTACAAGGGCAATAAGGAAAACACAAATAAAAACAAGACTAGGCAAAAAAAAATTGAACATAATTTCTCTCCCTAGCCGATCGTAGGTCATTACGATGAGGGACTAAAATAAAAATAACCATATTGAAAACCAGCTATATTCTTAAACATTTTTCGCTTTGATACATTCACACTGGATACCGCCGCCTTCTCTGATGTTAACATCCTTAATTTATCACTTCCTAGTAAGTTTGCAAATGCGAAAGTTTATGACGGAGGCCGAAGTTTTCTTCCTCTTCTAGTGCAAAAAGTACCAAACGGTTTCTTAAGCTGTAACTTCACAGTGTAATAGCTTGTACATCAGAGTAGAAAATAGGCTATAAAATAGAAGGACAAGCGTAGATAAGTGAAGTTCTAAGTATGGAGTTCAAATTAGCAGTAGTCAAAGCGAAACGTGGTCGGGTTTTACTAACAAGAAATATAGAAAGGTCCTTTTAGAATTTCTATGAAACGATTAACTCAAGATGTTTCGTTATTTTTAAATGATTTTTCTGCTCTCCTCCTCCTCCTTGCATCGTATTCCTCTTTGTTAAGGGTCGTGACCTTTACGGAGCATTTTTGTTCAGACTATGTTCTTCCATACTTTCCTATCCTCTGAGCAGTAGGTAGTGACAATGATACTGGAGTCCAATGTCGTCTTAATTTGACCAGACCAGCACATGGGACTACAGCTCCTTCGCCTCTTTTCTTCCACTTTGCCGGCGATATATAATTTTAGTTTTCGGCTCTATATTAAATATAACTTTATCTATTATCATCTAATCAAATCTCTATCTATCATCTAATCAAATATCTTTATCTATTATCTATTATCATCATCTTTATCATCTATTAATCTCTGGTCGTCAGCGTTCGTAGCTTGTTTCGTTTTTACTGTATCTACATTTGTATAATGTTTATTTAATGGGTGTATTGTACTAAATGTGTCAAAAATAAGATTATAATTAATCTTTTTTTTTTAACGTTGGGATATCTGTTCAAGGATACCCGGTCGAGGTGGGTAACAGACCGGTATATGTCGGACTCCAAAGTCTCCAGAGAAAAAGAGGGAGAACCGAGGTCCTCCTCTTCTTCCAATTCCTTCCGGGAGACTACTCAACCACGAAAGACCCGCCCCGCAAAACCGACTACCGGAACCCCATCGAGCTCCTCGACTCCGACTCCACGAAACCCATGGTACCGTACCGCATAGTGCGGACCGAAAGTCCGCGTTCGTCGGTACCCGCCCTGATAATAGGACGGGATTTCATTCCCGAAAGATCCGGAAAGATTCCGGGAAGAACCCGCGGGACGTCGTCCGACAGCCGAACACCGGGTGCCCCCGCACCCGGTACACGACGGCCCCTACAGTAGATCAATGGAAGCCACGTGACCGCGCCACCCACTCCGCCTTCTTCGCTGAAGAGCCAAAAAACCTAACACTACTATTAATCAATAATAAAACAAAAACAATTCCACACTATTAACATATTATTTATTCATAAACTATACAAAAAATATTTTAGTTATTGGTCATTTAGAACTTTCTGACCCAGATTTTAATCAAGGTTTGTTAACTGCATTGCTAAAAAGACATTGAACGTTATGACGTTGAAGCGTGCTTTCCACAATTAACAATTTTTTTTGGTAAAATATTAATTAACCAGTATTATGAATTGGGGTTGTGCGTTCGATTCCCCCTTCGGGCAAACGTTCCGGTGACGAGAGATTTGTTCGCTCTGTATCTGGATGTTCATTAGCGACATTTATACCTTTGTATGTACATACACATATATGCATGATGTAAACGTATATATAAGTATGTTTTGTAAGTGTCTACCTCCTAAATACAGATCTAGGTCCAGATGACCATGTGTGTTTTGATCTTGATAATTTATCTAATTATTATTAAGCTATTCATCATCCCAGTAGTACGACGTTCGGTTCACTTTTAAACCTTGAGATATTCTGTAACCAAGATCTGGGTGTATGATTGTGAAAAATTTCACTGCTCTATCCTGCAATTCTTCGATAGCACCACCAAGACTATACAGAATGTTTTCGACAAGTCTGTTTCGTTCCTCTTTCGTCATTTCGTTCATATACAGCTCTCTAGCCTGATCGAAGTTGTTAGGATCATCTTGGTATATCTCGATAAGGTCAACTCTATTCTCATCTTTGTAAGGCACCGGTCCATTGAACGTGTTAGGATAATAATTGGGGGTATCTTTTCCATTATCCTTAACGGGAGGTCGACCATCGCGATTGTAAGCAAGTACGTGATTTTGAATCGGACAATTTACCGGTATTTTATTAAAGTTAACACCTAACCGGTAATATTGAGCGTCTCTGTAAGCTAAGCGTCTAGCTTCGAATACTTTGTCCGGTCCACCCAAAATGCCCGGCACAAGATTTGCTGGGCTATACGCCAACTGTTCTATTTCCGCGAAATAGTTCGTCGGATTTTTGTTCAAAACAAAACGACCGAGTGGCTTTAGGGGAAATTCATCTTGGGGTAATATTTTTGTCACGTCAAAAACATCGAATTGTGCATTTTTGACATCGTCTAATGTCAATATCTGGATACTGACAGACCAACTCGGAAATTTACCCTTTCCTATCGCATTATACAAATCTCTGGTGGCGTAATCAGGATCAATGCCGGATATTTTCTGTGCTTGTTTAGAGTTTAGATTTTTAATACCAGCGTCAGGAATAAAATGAAATCTAACAAAGTGCTTCTCTCCACTCTCATTGACAACTTGATAAGTGTGAATGCCAAACCCTGGCATATGCCTGTAACCATCTGGTATGCCTCTATCTCCAAATACAAGCAAAAACATATGCAAGCTTTCCGGTTGCAACGTCAAAAAGTCCCACAGCATATTACCGTCTATTAAGTTAGTAGCTGGATTTCGTTTTTGAGCTCGTACAAATGTCGGAAAAAGCAGAGGATCTTTGTAAACGTACATGGGGGTATTGAATCCCACGATATCAAAATTACCGTCTTCAGTGTAAAATTTAATGGCGAACCCGCGCGCATCTCTTGAAGTGTCAGTACCTCCCCTTTCGACTACCACTGGAGAAAATCTTGCTGCCACTGGGGTTTTCTTTCCGATTTTACTAAATAATTTGGCTTTACAAATGCTCGTAATATCATGCGTAACTTCAAAATAACCGAATGCTCCACCCGCTTTTGCATGCACCAACCTCTCGGGAATCCTCTCTCGTACTAAATGCGTTAATGAATCCATAAAATATTCATTGAATATGAGATTTGAGTTCAATGTGTTACTCGCATCTTTGAGTTCGATCGGCGATCCAGCACTCGTTGTCATAATACCGATGGGTCCCTGGAATAAGCCACACATAATATTTTATCAATAGCTGAAATGAAACATAATAGGTTGGGGAAAAAGTCTTTTCGCATTATAGAAGGTATGTATGAACTTGTAATAAAATCTCTTTGGCTATACTATTTGTATCTGGCTGGTTTTGATATCAATAAAAGTTTAAATTTTAAAGAAGATAATTCCAAATTCAAATTAGGAAAATGTGTGATTTTTATTTATTTTTCGTACTGTCAAGATGAGTAAATCTAATAAAGAAATTCGATACATTTTAAAATTTTACTACCAAAAAGGTAAAAATGCAACGCAAGCCGTGAAAAAAATTTGCGATGTTTATGGACCTAGTGCAGTGTCTGTGAGAGTAGCACAAATTTGATTTAAGCGTTTTCAATCCGGAAATTTTTATGTCAAAGATGCACGTCGCTCTGGTCGCCCTATTACGGATAAAATGGATGCCATTTTTGAAAAAGTGGAGCAAGATCGGCATATCAGTAGTTACGACTTACTAAAGAACTGGGAATTGACCACAAAACAGTTTTGGCGCATTTGAAAGAAACTGGGTACACAAAAAAGCTCGATATTTGGGTACCTTACGGGCTCGCTGAAAGAAACCTAATGAACCGTGTGTGTACTCATTTATGATTCATTCATTACGATGTAATGAAACCGAACCATTTTTTGAAGAAACTGATAACTGGTGATGAAAAGTGGATCACGTACGACAAGAACGTGCGAAAAAGGTCGAGGTCAAAGGCCGGTCAGGCTTCACAGACTGTGGCGAAACCCGGGTTAACTCGCAACAAGGTGATGCAGTGTGTGTGGTGGCGTTGGAAGGGTATTATTCATTATGAGCTGTTACTACCAAGCAGGACTATGGATTCTGAACTCTACTGCGAGCAGCTGATGAGAAGTTGAGAGCGAAAGCGACCGGAATTAATCAACAGAAGGGGTGTGGTTTTTCATCATGATAATACTAGACCTCACACATCTTTAGCCACTCAGCAAAAATTAAGAGAGCTTGGCTGGAAGGTGTGAATGCATCCGCCGTATAATCCTGACCTTGCACCTTCAGATTTCCACCTGTTTCGGTCTCTTCAGAATTCTTTAGGCAGTGTCAGGTTAACATCACGAGAGGACTGCCAAAACCAATTGTGGCGGTATTTTGATCAGAAGCTCCAAAATTTCTATAGCAATGGGATCATGTCCCTACCTACAAAATGGCAAAAAGTTATCGAACAAAAAGGTACCTACATACTTTAGTTAAATGTGAATAAACTATATTAAAAAATTTGTGAATTTACTTAAAAAATGCGAAAGAACTTTTTCCCCGACCTATTATATTATAAAACAGCTCTACATTCTGTAGACATTTATACCTTCTTACGATAAATGAAACAAATTGAAATTAATTCAAAATCTGTTGGCCTAGAATACCAAAATACTATTACAAATTCCCATAGATACAGTCCCATATTGAATAACCTATTTCAAAAAAATAGTAAATTTATGTTAAAACATTCTAACTTACCGATGTTCTCTGTTTGAACGCGACTATCTGCTGGGCTGCCGGCGCTGGCTCGTTCCCAGTTTTTGCCACCGCGGCCATCGCAAGCAACGCTATCGTCAAACGCAACATTATCTCTCACTAAGCACCACTACAGTGCATTTTACGAAAACTAGAACAATCTGTCCGACGTCTACCGATCAGACTTTATACTGCAGTATTGCGACCTTGTCGTTGAATGGCCAAGACTGATTTATGAGCGCAATGAAATTTCTCAAGCGGCAATTGTTACAAATTTAATACACGCAGTGTACAAGAACCTATTATGAACATTATTATGTAAAAGTGACAAAACAGCTCTTATAGTTTTTTAAGCGATCGAAACCACTTCTCCGGAGACAGCTAACTGTTCAAATCAAGGTGAACAGTCTATCTGATCTTTATAAGTAGACAACGTTGTCTAACCATTGCGATATCGTTGTAATGAATATCTTCCGTTTCGTTTTGAGCACTTTATATAAATGTGTACAGTTGTATGGATATTCGTTTCAGTTAAAACTGAAAATGTAATAAAAACAAAACACTATTTATGTTTCTGTACTTAATTTTATTCTCTAATAAATAAAGTAATTGTTGCTGTATTCATTTTTTGTTTAATTAGTATTGTGGTTTTCTCATTTTTAAACAAAGCTGGACTTCGTATAGCTTATGTAACTTCTTATAACTTAAATAGTACGATAAAAAATACATTTTTTTTAACTACAATGGGCGGACGATCTCAAAGGCAAACTGAAGGCCGCTGCCTACAATGGGCTTAATATTTATTATAGTTTAGGTAACAATAGCTCGAAGACATTACATACTCAATCCTGTGGACCGAATGGTAAACAATCAACGTCAATACGGATCCTCTCGATCCATTAACGGTGCTTTTAGGTACTTCAAGCACGGTCACCGTCCCGCCGAACCCGTCGCTTGCGACGAAGGGCTCGGCGAGTAAATTAATACATAGACACGGCCCACTGATTTTTTCGCCGAATCTTCTCAGTGGATCGCGTTTCTGATCCGGTGGTAAATTCTGCGAAGTAGTTACTGCTCTTACTAGGGCTAGTGTTAGCAACACCTCTGGTTTGAGCCCCGAAAGCTCATCTACACGCTAGGGTAACGCTTATATAGCCTCTCAAGGCTCTCAACATAGGTAGAGAAAGAAAAAAAATCAAAGACAGAACTCACACATATTATGTTTTCAGTTTTTTTATAGTATAATATCTTTGCGGTTGGCTGCTGTTTATTTAGTTCCCCTTCGTGGCATTTAAGACTCTATTCACACAGTGTAGATTAGTAAAAACCTACCGTACTGTCCAATATTTCTAAAGGTGACGCATTAAAGGAGGTCGAAGTAAAGTCACAGCTCCTCCTTAACGCCCTCTTTGGCCAGTCAATACCCTAGTCAAGGAAATTCAAGTACTCGAAACTTATTCTTCATAGCTCGATGATCTGGATTCCTGATACAATTTCAGGGCTGTTTTACGCTACCAACTAAAGCGCAGATCGACGAACTCATCGAAAAGTTCAATGTGACATATAGCCCACAGCAACAGCCTGTTTGTTCAGTCTTTCATTGCAGTCAATGCAGTGATAGATCGACTGGAAAAGCAGCTGTGGCAGTCAGGTAGTAGCTAAAAACCCAGTCACTGCCTCCCGGTTAAGTAGGTATATTAAATAAGTAAGCCTTATTTTATTATGTTCACCCATCATGGTGAAACTACACACCAAAAAGGTAAAAGAAACTTTATTTATAAGTTTAATTAAATTTGCATTAATTTACATAAATATAAATATTTAGTAAGGCATTTCAAATTAGTCACATTTCAGTTAATTACTGTCACGACTTATTAGCCCTTATCATTCGAAAACATGTTGATGTAAAAATATTATTGCATACATTATTGCATCACATGAAAAACTCGTTTTGTTTTTCATTACATGACACATTTATTTTACTTTTTCACGATTGAATGATTACTAGTGTCCCGGAGGCCTTTCCAGTTTCACCAGGAGAAGTGGGCGAGCAAAGGTTCAGCCAGGAGGGGTGGGATTTGCTAACAGCTACCCGAGCGCCTCAGAAGAGACCTAACAACTCGAGAGCAGATGCTTCGCGGATGAATCTACTACCAGATTGGAATCGAGAACCTGAGAAGATCCGCCGAGAAACTCAGCAGACGTTTGCATGGGCTAGGTTTCACATCGAACTCTTTGTCGAGATCGACGAGTACGGTTGCCGGGGTCCCCAAATCTGTTCTTAGCGTTAGAACTGAAGGCGTCTAATGCAAGAGTTATTGGATCTGATGGATCCTAACGGACGTGTCTAGGGCGTTGACGGTAACTGGCTTTTGCGTGATCAGGATTCCGGGAGTAGTCAGCGGCGGCTACGATAATTTCTGTTACTGCAGCTTAGGTTAAATTTTTATAATCGCTTCTTTTAAAAGTCATCTCAATAATATTATTACTGACATCTAACGGAGATGGAACTGTGAACTATCTTGTGTAACTAGGCAGCGGCTTGGCTCTGCCCCTGGCATTGCTGAAGTCCATGGGTGACGGTAACCACTCACCATCAGGTGGACCGTATGCTCGTCTGCCTAAAAGGGCAATAAAAAAAAAAAAGTCACTACGGCTCACACGGCTCTGATACGACTCCCCCAAAGTATTCGTACAGTCACAAACCCAGCTTGAACTCGACAACTCTCTTTGGATAGATATTCTTGCCTTTTCGGGACAGACAATGTGCTCTCTGAGCAGTGAACATCTTTTCATGCTTAAGACATTGCGTAAAACACATAATACATGAAAAAGGGTTTCTTCTTCCTGTCCACAGAACCTGTAAGCAATCTGCAACGAGTGGTCGTCGTCGTCGTGGCCTAAAGGCTAAGACGCCCGATGCATTTGTATCTAGCGATGCAACGGTGTTCGAATCCCGCAGGCGGGTGCCAATGTTTCTAATGAAATACGTACCTATTTGACGAATGCTCACGATTGACTTCCACGGTAAAGGAATAACATCGTGCATTCAAAATCAAACCCGCACAGATTATAATTCGCGTAATTACTGGTGGTAAGACCTCTTGTAAGTCCACACGGGTAGTTACCACCACCCTGCCAATTTCTGCCGTGAAGCAGAAATAGGCTGGGTGTAATGTGGGGGCAGTTTTTTTTATTGCTTTGATAGGTGGACGAGCTCGCAGTCCACCTGGTGTTAAGTGGTTACTGGAGCCCATACACATCTACGACGTAAATGCGCCACCCATCTTGAGATTTAAGTTCTAAGGTCTCAAGTATAGTTTCGACGGCTGCCCCACTCTTTAAACCGAAACGTATTACTGTTTCACAGCAGAAGTAGGTAGGGTGGTGGTTCATTTTTTTTTTTTCCTACCTAAGCTGATAGCCTTGAGAGGCTATTTCAGCGTAACCGTGGCTAGTAGGTGAGCTCACGGGGCTCAAACCTGACGACGATGCTAACACGAACCCTAGCAAGAGCCGTGCTTCGCAGAATCTACCACCGGATCGGAAACGCGACCCTCTGAGAAGATCCGGCGAGAAACTCAGTGGGCTGTGTCTGAGAGTTAATTTACTCGTCGAGCCCTACGTCGCAAGCGACGGGTTCGACGAGAATGGTGACCGGTGCTTGAAGTACCTAAAAGCACCGTTAGTGGATCGGGAGGATCCGAGATGACGTGTTTTGGGCGACGTCGACTGTTTTCCATTCTGTCCGCAGGATCGGGAATGTAGTTACCGGCGGCCACGATGAGAGGGTTCTCGTGTCGTGCCGCTTTATCGAAGTGGCGCATCGACGCCGACTGCATATACTTACTGGTGGACTCTAAGTCCAGGTCGTCGTGGAGGTCGACGTTCCTCACGAACCACGGGGCTCCGACGGCTATCCTGCAAAAACGGGATTGAATGATTTGGAAGGATTTTAAGTGAGTGCGGGCCGCGTGCGCGAACACTACACTTGCATAGGTCATGACGGGGCGTATGCAAGTTTTGTAGAGTGTCACCTTATTTCTAAGGGACATTTTACTTCGCCTGCATATCATCAGGTAGAGACGTCCTAGAATGAAGGCGGCACGGTCGCGTACCGCCTTAATATGAGGGCGGAATGTCATCCTTCTGTCGAGGGTGACGCCTAAATATTTGACCTTCGGGGCCCACGGTATGAGCTGGTCGAACATCGTGATTGGGCGAATGGCGGAGGCGGAGGTGTCGACGCGCCTAGACGGGAGAGGGATGCTCAACGTGGTGTTCGGAGGGCGACCCCTTCTGAAGAGCACCGCTGTGCTTTTCGTGGGGTTGATGTCGATGCGCCACTTCCGGAACCACTGTCCCATGGTAGTAGCTGCGGTCTGGGGTCGTCGATGAAGCAACGCCTTCTTCCTACACGAGTAGTAGATGGCGGTGTCATCGGCGAAGTGCGCCAGATGGGTCTCCGGAGACCGGGGTATATCGTTGATATACAAACTAAATAGTAACGGGGAGAGGGCGGAGCCTTGCGGGACTCCGGGTGTGACGTGACGGGGGCGGGAACGCGTTCCCTCGACTCGATATCGGAACGAACGGTTCGACAAGTACCTACCCGCGCGGACTCACAGGAGGTCCTACCACCAGTAAAAAATGTTTTGATTTAGCATCCTATTCATAAGAAGAAATCTAGGTTCGAGATTAATTTCCTCTAGACCATTTTTGTTCCATACGGAGAGGATTTCTTCATTTTCTTCTTTCACAGCTCTGTAGCCTTTGTAGTATGAATACTTACTACTTAGACTATTATAATTCAGAAACAGACGATATTTTACTATCAACGGCCCGTTATATAACCATTCGACTAAAACTAATCGAATTACGAGATTAAAAAATTACTTCGACTTTGTTGTTACGACGACTGCTATCTGTGACGACGAAAACTATTAAGTATTCGAATGAGAGATTAAATTGTAAAAGCAGTTTAGATTAAGTTTACTCTAAATTTTTTTTTCAATTTATTTTAGTTTTCTTTTTCATGTTCACTTTTCATACAATATATAAAAGTCGTTTCAGTTTTAATTGTAAAAGATTTTATAGTATGAGATATATTCCCTTTGCCTGTGTAACGGACAAAGCAAAACAAAAAAGTTATGGTCTCATAACTAAAAAGTGTCAATTTATTTGTAAAATCTAATACACGTTAATAAAATACAGTTATTACCATCATTACAGTTTATCATAATAAAATGTTAAATTCTTGAGTTAAATGACACCAAGTTAGCTTTATCGCCAGTACATTTAAAGCTTATTGTGTTCGTTGTTAACCAAAAATGGCAAGGTCGCCAAAGGATGATCCAAGATACACTGAAATGCAGCATAACGCATGGAATTATCATGCTGAAAACTCTGCAAATCGTTCCACGCCTGGTTTAAACCAACCAACAATCGTTCCAAATCCACATGTAATGAATGACGACATGTATGTGAATGCTAGTTTCGCTAATGATGTTTATTTGAATAAGCACGCTTACAGCCCGCAGACAGCCGCTGCGGCTCCGGTAGAAGACAAGATTTTCAACAATATACCTAATATACCTCGCAACCAAAACTACGGAAATGCAATGTTGAATTTGGGTAATGGTCAAATGGTTAGAGTGTATTATGATGAAAACAACAAACAGTTGATATTTCCTGTATCCGGTCAGTATGAGTTGTTCAACCACAATCAAGGTATCTGTGACACACAACAGTCGCAGCCGCACCTTTTTACACTTAATCAAGATTATTCGGTCCGCAACAATATGCAAGGAACACCTACAGCATTAAACCAAAACATTGCATTTCAAGAAAATATAAATGCCCAGCCTACGTCTAATTTCTTAAAAGATTTATTGGGTAATTTAGAGCCAAACTCTACAGGCACATACTCCCCATTTGGCCAGAACTATCCTTTGAATCACCCAGATGCTTCCCATTTAAATATACCATCGAATCCTATTATTGAATCTAAAAGCACAATTATAAAACCCGAGTCTCCAAAAAGGAATGAGAACAGTCCCCTAGCTGACACAAGTAACAAAAAACGAATTATTGCTGAAGTAAAGCCAATGCGACCTTCATATTCTGATGTGCTGGCTAAGAACACCAAAAATGTCAACACCATTGATACAAACCGTAAAATTAAATCTCAAACTCCTGAAACAAAACCAACTAACATCAAAACAAATGCAAAACATGAGAAGCCAGTGTATAGTGGTAAACAATATGAAGATAATAAGCCAAAAACAGACAAAAAACAAACTACAACATTATCTTCAGGCAGTGAGTCTGGTGACCACAACACTGATGACAATGAAAAGCAACAACGCTCCAACAAAAAAACTAAAAATAAACGCAATTCACTATCCCGAAAATGGTCTTCACTTGAAGACTTTACAAATGAAGAAGAAATTACCTACACGTGTAACAATGAGAGCCAGTTTGTGTTCATAGAAGATCAAGATAAGCCAATGAAAAAAGAAAAAAAAAGTGATCATACCAAAATCAAACAAAACAAACTTAACTTTCTGGATGATGATTTGAATCTTGATGATGATTTTGAAAGTTCAGAATTTGTTCTCCAGGAGGAACAAATGAATGAAGCTGTCAAGACAAAGAAAAAAAAAGACCGTAGCTATCATAAAATCCCTAAGCCCACCCAGGACAAAAAGAAGGGGAATCAATGTAAGTCCAGGAGGAATAAACCAGGATATTTAGGACTGGCTCAAAATTATTTAGAACATTGGGGTGAAGCAACATGGAAGGCTCTCATATGGTTTATCTATTTGCTCTCCGATATTTGTCGCATGAGTCTTCATTTGTCCTTTGACTTGTAAGTATACTAGATACAATTAACTCATACTTCTCTGGAAATTGTATAATAATTTATTTTAAGGTCTTGTAAATATCTATATATGAGTCGACTAGTATCAAAGCCGGCAATCTGACTTTTGGACAATGATTGGTAAATCAGAAAAACGAATTATTGACTTTGTATTCCATTGGCAGTCACAAAACTCTTCGGAACGACATCTTAGATAAATAACAGGTTAACTATTAACCTTTATTTAATGCAGGTTTTGAACCGTATTCTTTGAAGGAGACGATTATANATATGAGTCGACTAGTATCAAAGCCGGCAATCTGACTTTTGGACAATGATTGGTAAATCAGAAAAACGAATTATTGACTTTGTATTCCATTGGCAGTCACAAAACTCTTCGGAACGACATCTTAGATAAATAACAGGTTAACTATTAACCTTTATTTAATGCAGGTTTTGAACCGTATTCTTTGAAGGAGACGATTATATTCAAATTAATCTGAATTGACATATCAATAAAAATTTTTTGTCCAAATGCACAGATTGCCACCTTTGATAATAGACGACTCATATGTGAATATTTATAGGATCATTTTTCTTTAAAGAATATATTTAGTGGAAATGTACCCAGGAAGAAAAGAAGGAATCCAATCATCCATCCATCCATATTAGCAAAAAGTTGTACTAACGTTAGGTGTGTGAGACTGAGAAATTTATTTATTTATTAAGTTGCACCAACAAAGTGATCATCAAATACTTGCACTTACTCTGGATATATGTAGAAAAGGCTCAGTAATGCAACAATACTCTTAATCATGACTTCTTTATTACATACACAGTTAAGCAAGTTCGAGATCCACCCGGTTGTTAAGTACTTACAGGAGCCCTGAAATATCAACAATGTAAAAGCCACCACCCACCTTGAAATAAGAATTCTAAGTGTCAGTTGTATGTACGAGCTCACAAGACACCCTACATGCTATTATTGCCATAGAATTTAAATCTGCAATTATCTACAAATTTAAATTTAAAGGATCTGGTATATTACTATGTAAATTGTCTTATTATCCCCAGATGTACTTCTGTATTCACACAAACATATGTGAGCTCCCAAGCAGTGTGGCGCAGCAGCAAGGAATGGCTTTCGAAGATTGGAGACAATAAATACCTATCGTATATAGACAGAAAACTAGGACACACATGGTTTGGTTTTTGGAGAAAAATGAAATGGTTCAAAAAAGGTATGCTAGATCATGATATTTTTTTTATGTTCGTACAGTATAATTTGTACTAATCGCTGGATATTCATATGAATATAGACATGAGAGTTTATTGCATATAATGTATTGAAAGTGTTACTAGCATAACCAATATTTACATTAACATTAACTTTATCAAGCTAACCTATTTTGAAAATTATTTTTTAGCTTGAGATGTGTGATGGAATTTTTCAACATCATTTTCACTGAATTCAAGATGTCCAATTTAGCTTAAAAAATTTGCAGACGCCTCAAAGACCAATATTAATAAATTAATTTTATAACTTTACTGTAAAAGTGTTGATCGGGTACAGCAAATCTAATTAATTGTTAGTTCAGTTTCAATTACATATATTATTTCTATTGTCAATGCTTATCGATTGATAGCTTTTAGCTATCAATGGTGGTCGTCCAGTCATATTTACTGTTTTTTTGTTTACTTATGAATTATAGTAAAATCCACCTATAGTGTTAAGTTTCTAAATGTAAAAAAAATTTAAAATATAATTATTTTACATGAACTTAACTGAAATCATCATACATTAAAGACATCATAATATATGCAACACTAGTGAAGCCTTGTCATGCTTTTTTGTGAATATAGATAAATTTATAAACAACATCTATTTGTTTAAAACAGAAAATTCACACAATGTTCATTAATCTAATAACTATTTATGTAAGAATCATTGTTTGAAATATGGAATAACAACAATTTGAATATCTGAAATCAATTATTTGTCAGTCGACCTACATAAAATAATAATACCTTACAGAAACAGAAGCGGAAAATGGAAATGACTCGACAAAATTAAATGCCAACATACCATTGCCCGCCACTGGTGAGGAAGCCATGAAACGACTGCTCGCATGCAAAGGGAAAGATCCTTACAGGTAATTACAGGCTCTCTAATATATAAATATGAATGTTAATTTTTTCATCTCAAGTGATCATAGTACTATAATACATAACCAATGTTTATGAGTGACTTTTACAATAAAGGAATAACATCGTCTCATAAAGATGAAAGAAATCCTTATCCTACTAATATTATAAATGGGAAAGTTTGTAAGAATGTATGGAGTTACTCTTTCACGTAAAAAGTACTGGATGGATTTTGCTGAAACTTTACTATAATATAGCTTACATATCAGAATAACACATAGGCTATAATTTATAAAGATGTAGTGTGAGTTACCCAAAATAGAACACTTAAGTGTTAGGTAAATAGGAAAAAAACTGCTATTGGAGAGCTATTCTGGCGGGCGCCGCAAAAAGAGTTATGTTCAGATTTGTATTTCACAAAATTCAATAAAATCAATAATAAATTATAGACCCCGAAACGAAGCGAGGACGGGTCGCTAATATAATTATAACTTGCATAATTACGAAACAAGTTGGACATGTACATCAAGTGTTGCATGAATGATGTCACTCTTTGCAGTATTCTCGGCGTAAGCGTGGACTGTTCGGATGAAGATATAAAACGTTACTATCGGCGTCAGGCGTTCCTTGTTCATCCGGACAAAAACCAGCAACCGGGGGCTGAAGAGGCCTTCAAAATACTGCAGCATGCCTTTGATCTCATCGGAGAACCCGTTAGTGATCACACAAATTACTATATCGATAACTTGTTTGCTTTGTCTATTTGTTGTTACTAGCGGTCGCGCAGTAGTCGAAATTGGACTTTAATTATTTGAAATTATAAGTTTGAACATTATTATGGTTTTGTTGTCAAAAACTGTTAAGCTTCTATAGTCACAGATTTCGCCAAGACTGCACTATACACCAATAATATTCAAGATAAACAATATTAACCTACTAGTGGTCCCGCAGTAGTCGAAATTCGACTATATTTAATTGAAATTGTAATCTTGTACACTATTATAATTCTATTTTCAAAGACTATTTCATAAATCACAAATTTCGCCAAGACTGCACTATAGAAAAATATGATTAAAGATAAACAATATTTAATCTATTCTGAATTTGACCACAGACGTCAAGAACAAAAGTTTGACAATAAATAGTATACATGCGTGTGCGTCAAATACATGGTAGTGTGTGTAATGTTTTTTTATTGATTTAATGTATCTTTTATGCATTATTTTAATAAAATATTAGCATTGTGCACTTCTTCTCTATATTCTCTATAAGTGTGGAAATTTTCATACTCCTCCGTCCGTGCAATTTTCGTAAAAAGGGTTACAAAGTTTTTGCTTTACGTATTAATATATAGATTCCACACAGCATAAAGGCTATCTCGGTTAATGCCGTAGACAAAAGCTACGGTCTAACATCCACACGCACGGCTCCGGTGTAGTGAGTGGGGTGGTGGTGTGGTGACAGTGCGCATGCGCAGGAGCGTCGGGAGGCGTACGGGCGGCGCGCCGCGGAGACGCTGCACGCGGAGGCCGCCTGGGCCGAGCTCAACGCGCTGCTCGCACAGCTGCACCACAAGATGGAGTTCGCAGCCAACACTATACGGTAACCACATTCATCATTCTCCTTCTCCATCGCTCCCTCATTACTGAGGATCGTGACTCAGTTCCAGCCTGTCGACTGCCAGCCTCCATCGGTTCCAGTCAGTTGCCTGGTGTAGTACACCGCTAAGTGGTCTGCTGGTTTGCTCGGACCAACGTTTGGGGCTCCGGCCTCTAGGACATTTCCTTTCTTTTTTTTATTTCTTAAATGGTTGAACGAGCTTACAGCCCACCTAGTGTTTGGTGGTTACTGGATATAAGTTCTAAGCTTTCAAGTATAGTTACAACGGCTGCCCAAAACTTCAAACCGAAACGCATTACTGCTTCACGGCAGAAATAGTCAGGGTGGTGGTACCCACCCGTGCGGACTCACAAGAGATCCTGCCACCAGTAAGAAGGCTATTTGATTTAAGCGACACTTCGTTTATTCGCACCATTTATCGGTGCATTTTATTTGGTACTAGCGGCCCGCTCCGGCTCCGCACGTATCTTTAACAAAAATTTCAACGATATTTGACGTTGTTTTATTTTTATTACACGATGTTATTCCTTCACCGTGGAAGTCAATCGTGAACATTTGTTGAATACGTATTTCATTAGAAAAATTGGTACCCGCCTGCGGGATTCGAACACCGACTACTATGGAGGGTCCGTTAAAATTTGCTAAATAAGGGTGGCGCTACTGTAGCAACCCGATAAATTTTGAGAAAGGCGCTGAAAGCTATTAGAATAAGATAAGAGAAATAAAAAAAGACGAAAGAACTGTAAGCACTACAAAATCACAAAAAGTATTTTATTTAAAGCTAATAATAAAATGCAATCGATGTCTCCACGTTTTACCACAGCAATAATTTTAAGTTATATTAACGAAATTAGTTTGGACTACGTAAACATGTGAGGTCTCGTATATTAAACTGTCACTGACTACTCTTGTCATTAAATATATTAAATTTCCTAACTCAGCATACTTCAATCAATTAACAACTGCTCAATTGATATCATACTCTGTGCCTACGCTAGCGCCATTCGGGAGGATTTTTGAACTAATATTTAGTGCTGAAAGTGAGACACTTTTTCAAGTTTCCCCATTTGAGACGGTTCTCCTTACCTTTACCCTCCATAATACTATATTATCCGTGGGCCACTGTAAACACTTCGCACCATATGCACTGTGATTTTACTGACTTAGCCGGTTGCTGATGATAAAAAAAACTTTTGCTTTGTGCTGCAATATGATTTATCTGTATGTTTATACACTTGATATTTTATTAATACGATAAACACGTCCGAAAAGTAAAAAAGGAAAAGACTGACAACATCAACAATATTGTCAGTCATATAATTTTATTTTCCATACTATAATGTTGCAGTTGCCAACAGGTTGTGGATGGCGATCATTTTTTCTTTTCTTTTTTAGTTAATGACCTGGTATCTAGACCTTTAGGCCAAAGCGATCATTAAGTAATCATGAAGTGTTGTTCAGCTGCACGAACTGCGGGCGGCGCCACAAGCGCGTGCAGACGGACCGGCCGTGCTACGCGGCGCGATACTGCGCACAGTGCAAGATACGACACTCCGCCAAAGAGGTCAGGCCTACACTCTACTGTATATTGTACTAGATATGACAATATCTCTTGGGAATCATTGATCTAATAGAAGGCCAGAACGCACAAACCGGCGACGACAAACTCGCAGAATAGGACCAATACCTTCATTATTTTTAGCCATTTTTTTCTTTTTACTTAGATGGTTGGACGAGCTCACAGCCCACCTGATGTTAAGTGGTTACTGGAGCCCATAGACATCTACGACGTAAATGCGCCACCCACCTTGAGATATAAGTTCTAAGATCTCAGTATAGTTACAACGGCTGCCCCGCCCTTCAAACCGAAACGCATTACTGCTTCACGGCAGAAATAGGCAAGGTACTAGGTATAAGTACTTACCCCTGCGAACTCACACAAGCCTACTTCAGTTCTTACTCCTCCCAAAAACCTCAACTCCGCTCTCAACGGTACTGTGTTGTATGATCAATAGATGACACGTAATAAATATCCTTTAGGAGTATATAATATGTTAAAAAAAATGTAATCCTAATGCAAATTTTTCTGTGACCACTCCTGAACACATTTCACAATTCGAACATAATAACAATAAGAAACATAATGTAAAAATGCCACAACATCTTGTATAATATCTTTGTTACAATCGCTGTGAACCCGTTTTGAAGAACATGTCTCTGTGTTTTCAGGGTGACATCTGGGCGGAGTCTAGTCTGATGGGTCTCCTGGTGATGTACTACGCTTGCATGGACGGAGCCGTTTACCAGATAACCCAGTGGGCTAGCTGTCAGGTAACAAACTCTTCATATATGTATATAATGTGTCCGAGGTCAGGACGGCCAAGTCGTTCTAAAGTCTTGGTCTAAAAATTTTAATAAATATGAATTATCATTTTGAAAAAATGATATTATTGTTAAAAAAAGCGCGGGGTGCATGGTATCAGTAGTTATAACTATTTTATGAACAAATATGAGTAGAAGGGTTATTTTGATAATATCCTGAAAAGCACCTCACGCTTTTTTTAACAATAAAATCCTTTTTTCTTACGTTATTTTTAATTCAAATTTATTAAAATTTATTGTCTATTTTTCAATTGGATTTTCTATAAAAGCGCATTTTGTTAGATTTTTTCATTTTTTTTTTTAATATTGAATTGTCATCGGTCCTTAATAAGTGTACCGAATTTCGATAATCCGAAGTTTTGAAGGGGGTCAAAATTATGTTCAAAGATTCCGTTACAAACATACATACGCCTGAAGCTAATAAAAGCGTATCCTATATCTATACTAATATATAGATCTACCGCGGTTTTTACGGATGTTCCGTTATAACTACTGAACCATGCATCCGATTGACTTGAAACTTGGTATCCATGTAGAAAATACATGTACTTAATGGATAGGCTAATATTTATATGAGTGTTGGACTCCTTACACCAGTTGCGGGGGCGTTAATGATGAGAATCTTTGTGGGGGTGAGAAATAATAATGTTAATTTTAAATGCCCAGCGAAGCGGACGGGTACAGCTAGTTTATTAATAAACTTGTATGTACAGAAGAAGAACCTGAGGCAGCTGCGTCCGGACTGCCACGTGGTGCAGTACCGCATCGTGCTCGGGAACAAGGCCGCCGCCGCCGCCGCCACCGCTGACAAGTACGTACGCGACTTGTCACTTAGTAAAAGGGGGGGTATTTCATAAATTTGAGTGGTAAAGTAAAAACAAATATATACGTAACTAGATACCGACTGCAGCGCCATCTGCCGGGATGATTTGTGAATCTAAACCATCCAGGGCACCACCTAAACTCATACAGAAAAATTCATATAAATCGGTCCAGCCGTTTAGGGGTTCAGTGACACACACATACAGTAAAATTATATATATAATAAGATATTGCGGTATTATAAGATGATATTTTATTGCCTTTTTAGGCAGACCACTTGATGATAAGTGGTTACCGTCAGCAATGCCAGGGGTAGAGCTAAGCCGCCGCCTACTGTTATGTACTCACCACAAGCCTTGAAGAAGGACTTTTAATGAAAATGTTTTAAATGTACAGCCACGAACCGAATCTAGAAGAGTTCCTGAACAGCTTGTACGGCAAGTCCGGCGCGCCGCCCCCCGCCGGGGCCCGCCCGCCCGCAGACTCCGCCGACGCCAAGAAACGACGCAATAAAAAACCTAAAATCTAACCCGAACAAATTTGAGTGCCCTCCACAATATTGAAGTAAAACCTCCATTGACACTGGCCAGATACATAAATTATTATATTTTGGAATTTACGATAAAAAATATTTAAAAAACAAAATAATTCTGGACGCTTAGGGTTAGAATGCCTTGTTGGCAGTTTATCATTGAGATTGCAGATTTAAGAGATTTCTATGTGAGATTGACATCGGAACTAGCTATGTTGCTAGCAGAACTAATGCCTAAATCAATTTGTGTTTTTTTTTCTTTCTTTTAATACTAAAAAGTTCTTATTTCTTGTCTGTGCAGAAATTCGCGAATAACTTTAGTATTATTTAATAGAATACACATTATAACATTTTGATAGCGATACGCTAACAAAATTTAGGTTAATGGCTAAGAATTGAATTTCGAATCAATTACTACGGAACTAGTAAGTTCTGGTAGAAATGAATTATCTTAATTTTAACGCGTGCAAATTTGCCTTAAGTAATGAAGTCATTAGAATAATCTCTCTCGTAACAATGTCCTAATTAATGTCACCAAAGTGGTGTACAAAAACATGCTTGCTTTTCACTGATAATTCTTTGTCGTTAACATGTTCAATTTTAAATATAATGAATTCAGATCACATATTAATCTTTTATGCAAATCACTCACTGAACTTTTTCTTGTCATTGTTTTTGATCAATTGGAAATGAGTTTCCTCTTTTATTATAGTTAGAGGAATATTAAAAAAAAAAAACTTATAAATATCTTTACAACATTAACAATTCCAACAACCTTCCAATTTTAATTATCCTATATATTGAATATTTTGATTTTAAAGTTTCTTATACATATATTCCTACTCGTTATTTCCCAACTCTTTTGTTGATAGTTAATGCTGGCAACCCTACGATAGCACAGTAAGTGTACCCAAAATCAGCATCCAAACGGATGCGCGGTGTTCATTGACTCCGTAGAAATGAAATAAAATTTTATTTACATACCTACTTAAATGTTACAATAACCCAGTGTGATAATGTCAGTTTTTTATTTAAATAATCGTTGATAACCTTAGGGGCTTTTTAACTAGGCGCGGATAAGTAGGTGAGCTCACGGGCTCAACCTGAGAGAATCTGCTAACACTGGTTCCAGCAAGAGTAGTGCTTCGCTCAATCTACCACTGGATAAGAATCGCGACACATTGAAAAGATGTCGAGTATGATCAGTGACGTCCTGAGTATAACCTACTATACAAACCCAGGAGGTGTTTTTCTTTTACACCCTAATATTTTATTTTAATAAATAATAACGTTTTTACTTGAAAACAAAAATGAAATTAAAAAGAATAAATATATTTTGTTGCAAATACCTACTTTATTTAAAACTTTCTCTCCGTCTATCCAAGAAGATACGTACATATTTATTTAAAACCCTAATAGCATCTATCAATAGATGAATTTTAAAAAGGCCTTAAATTTATTATGTAAACTAATGTTTAAAAAAACTGAGTGAAATGAATAAAAGATTTTTATGTGAATACATTCGATATTTGAATACAGAACAAAATATTTTTTTTTGTAAAGTCTAAAGTGTCACCTCCACACTGCCTTCGAATGAGATTAACGACTAGTTACGACGAATGTTCCGCTGTGCATTGCTCTTCGCGCTTCGTGTGTCAATAAACGATGTGGAAATGCTTTTATTGTTTTATTCATGAGATATAAATACAATTCTTGTTCCAACCTGGAGCCCACAAGATGAATACCGATATCCTTATTGAAGTTAAGATCGACGTGAGAATAAACTTGGAATAAAAATAAAGGTTGGCCGTCCCATGATATTTGAAACATTAAATTGGATGGTAGATCTTATCGACGCTTGAAAGGCAAACGTGACTAAGCGACAATAACTGCTTTGTACATAAATGATAGGCAATGACCATATTCGATGCGCAAAAAATATATATTTCTAGGTCTATTAAAAAATTTCAATCCTACAGCTAGATTCCTTAAAATAGAATTTTTTCAGGTATTTCAACTTTAAATTAGTCTACTGTAAAGTTAACGCATTGTCGTTTCCTTTCAAGCGTCGTTATTCACTTATGTTCACATCCTGCCATGTGGCTATGAGAAAAGCTCTTAAACCACAATGAATCTTGTATCTTGAATTTTTACAATTACAAATAATTGTTCTAGCCTTGGGCAAAATAAAACAATTATTAACAGTACATAAATATATTAGTTTACTCCATTACAACATCATTGTCTTTGCTTGTAACTATACAGTTCTCGTAGGACCATTTCGGGAAGATTCGTTTGTATAAGTTTAATAGTACGGTATCTTGTGATTTCAGTTGCCCGTCGAAAACGCATTTCATATGACCGTGAGTACCTAAAATGAATTTGTAAGATGAAATTATTTGTAATATTGTCATGGCACAAAAATGCACTGTTGGGGATCGTAACGAACACCTTTTGCTTTATGTCTTATCTGTATAGTATGCCATTAATCTTAATCCCAGCTATTGACACTAATCTAGTATACCATTCATCTCAATCCCAGCTATTAACACTAAGAAATGAAATCCGGCCCTCACAGTTCATCAGGCTGGTTGTCCATTGGGTAAGAACAATGAAGGGATCGTGTGTTGAATATTCATCATGGCTGTTAATGGTATGAAAGGACAACAGTTATACAATATAAACGCGATTTCTATCGTACTAGTATATTTTTACACATTTTAATTGAAGACATGAGTGGATGAAGGGCATATACAATTAGTTAATTTTGAGAAAATGGGCAACAAATTTTTGTTACTTGTACTTTTTCTTGGTAGATAACTCCATCAGATGCAATTTCTAAAAATAGCCTTTAAATCCGGTGTTTTAAGGTCTAATATGCTTTATAGGCACATAACACCTTCATTCAATGTAAAAACTCAAAAATCTTAAAAATAGTACTTAACCCATATAATTTATCCACTCATGTCTTCAATTATACACAATATAAAACGTACCCAAAGGTTCTTTGATGTGTCCAGTACGTCCATACTTCGATCTTAGTTTACAGGGCTTGAAGTAAACTATATCTTCTCTGTTAAAGAACATGAATCGTATGACGGCTGACTTTTTATGAACCTGCAAAACAAATTAATTTTATTAGAAAACAAATTATTACGGTGTTTATTTGGGCGGTTCACGGACAGATAAAAAATACTTTAGGATTAATCTTGTACTGATACCGTTTGCTATGCAAGTGAATGCCCATGTCGAGCCCATTGTAAAAAGATCGTAGGCATTACGCCAGAAGTTACACAGACTTCATCATAATCATTAATATGGGTGACATTAGTAGCCATGGGAGATATAATCAAGTCTCCTATATTACGAAATAAGATCCGCAGGAGAAACAAGTTAGCTGCCTCCTTCAAATGGACTGTGTGAATGAGGAATGTAAAACAGCCCTGCGTTTGATATTACTGTTGAATTCAGTACCTTATATGGATGTCCAGAGAGTACAATTCTTTTTATAACTAATCTATCAGGGCTGCATGAGAGTAGTACGCCAGTTGCTACAAGCTGCAGCTTTGTGTTCTTTTTTTCCTGCAATCAAAATATGATATGATTAAATAATATAATTTAAAGTGAATTTAGTAGACTGCAACTATCTTTAGACGTAAATAGTGAAAAATATAAATGGATCCAATGAAAAAAAACTGGTGCTAATATATTAACAAAGGCCATAATGAATTTTAATAAAAAAATAATTTAATATATCTAAATATTAATAATTATACATATTAACAAACCTTAAAGCATAGCACTGTAGATGGACTGAACTGTATAGGTGCAAAGAAAGATGCAACACAAGTTGATGCCGGTTGGAAGAATCTCTCGTACTGCAACATAATATGATATTTATTTTTCTTATTTTATTAATTACATACACAATTAGACCAGTAATTGATACTAAAGAAGCCAGGGCTTCAGCCTGGAAAGCTATTTGATTAGCCCCATTAACTTCACCTGTCCCAGCTACTGCTCCTTAGTGTTGAAAAAATTTATGAAAATAGAAGTCAAAAAACAATATCATTACACTTAGTGTAAGTGCATTTATTAAAAAAGAAATGATAAACACTGATAGTGCATTTATAAATTACATGTGAACTACAGTGTTGTTTTCATAGATAAATAAATAAATATACTATGGACAGAGTTTATGTATGTTGTAAGTTTCTAAAATCTTAAATAGTTTATCATTTTCAGGTTACAGTTATGTTAACAGATCGGGAGGATCCAAAATGATGTAGACATTTCCAATCCTCCCGATCCATTAAAGGTGCTTTTAGGTACCTCAAGCACCGGTCACTGTTCTCGTCGACCGTTAATTTCAACTTTAAATTAGTCTACTGTAAAGTTCACGCATTGTCGCTTAGTCACTTTTGCCTTTCATGCGTCGATATGTTTAAGGAGCGAATAGGCCAGTTTATCATTTGTTTGCCAGATATATCACTGTACATTACATTTTAATAAAGCTCACCTTATGCTTACTGCCATTGGTGTGCTGACTGAATATAGGATTCACAATGAACCTTCTATAACCAACTTGGAATATAAGTCTTTCCTTGCTCTTGATAGGTTCATTGCAGGCACCAGTGCGTTTTAATACTACATTCATCAGAGACATTTTGTGTTCGTGTGGTAAAAGTCCGAAAACAGCCAATGGAGCATTCGGATTTGCTGTACTAAAGGCTTTCCATAAATCTTGATGAACACCTTTTACATGTATTCTTATATAAAAGCCATACTGTAATAAAATGTTTGGTTTTGTATTAAATCAATACCATACATAAATTAAACTGTTAACGAACACAACATGAATATTGAAAAAAAAAAGTTTTCTATACTCTACTTACCATATTAACTAAACTGTCTTCGAGTTCCTTAAAAACCCTCTTCCTGGTGCGCTCGTAGTTTTCAAACTGAAATATTCTAGAATAATCCTGAGGCAAATTTTCCTTTACATCCCATGCTGATGTCCTGAAAGACTCTAGTCCTCTGTATCTCATAAAACGCTCTCTAGCTGGGATATCTTGCGGGGTATCAACTTCATCAGGGAATTGCTGATCTTCTTTTGCAGCTGCTAACTTCTGCAACATCTCATGTTCTTCCTGAGTGTCTATTGTGGCATCATACTTCTCATCTGTGGGTCCAACCTCTGATTCGGTAACAGATTCAATATCATTGAACTGTTTATCGTCCTCTGGATCAGAATTATCATCTTCACAAGACATAAACTCATCGTTTTCTTTCTCATCTCCACTATCAGACTCATCACCATCTTCCTCTGCATCAGATTCGACAATCCAAGCAGCTTGGTAGTCAGACCAACCTTTGGGTACTTTCTTGATTTTTTTCTTTTGTGTCTGTAAACAGTTTAGACAATTTTGTAATTATTTATTTGCATTACATACATCAACGCTTTATGTTTTGAATCAAGATGTACTACTCTCCAGCAAAATATACTTGACAATATTTTTACAATTATTTTTACATTACCTCTAAATTAGCTTGTTCAATTTCTTCTTCAGTTGGCCAGGTCTGCTCTGCATCCATAGGGTCTGGCACATTCTCTGATTGAAGACTCTCTTGCTTCGCAGGATCAGCTACTGCGAGAACTGACATTTTTGTGACTTCAGCATACATACCATCATCATTAGTATTTTCTTTCCCCAAATTAAATGGGTGGGGGTCTTCAAAACCCTCTATTCTAGTCATTTGAAAGTCACCAAGTCCAGTAATATGAACAAGTCCATTGACATTAAGTGCCATTCCTCGTAAATACCCTGATACTCTTAAAGTACCACTGTTACCTTCTAAATCAGGTACATATTCAACTTCCTCAGCCAGCATATAGGGTCTTTTCTCTCTATGATGTATTATGTTACGTTTCTGATTTCCTATTTTCCTTAACAAGTTCAAACCATCTGATTTTTTATCTAATTGCATTACCTTTTCTTCTGGAAGCCATTTTGAGACCAATTTCTGAACATTCTGTTTTTCTGTAGTGCGTTTCTTTGGGTGGACTCCCTCTATATCCATTGCTACTACTACAGGGGTAGGCATTCCTTGGGCCATAGAGAGTGCTAAAACTTTTTCTCCCCATTCATCAACTGGTTCCTCTAAAGCTGAGCTTACATAGAGGGCAGTGTCAGCTATTTTTAAAACATCAAGAAGTGCAAAGTCGTCACCTACTTCAGGACAAATAAACGAAAACCGCTGTTTGAAATTCGGCAACCTAGAACGATAAATAATTATTTTCAGCAAAATTACTGTCAATTTTGATGTCTAGCTTTATGTTCATAGTACAAACATAAACATACCCGATGTGTACAATTCCGTTTTCAGACTCGTTTACGACAGCTCCATCAGAACAGGTCTTCAGAATGGCGAGTGCCGATCCTACATCGAGTTGTGCATTAAGCGGAACGACACAAACTAGAAACGGCGGATTCCTAGTGCCTCCTAAAGCACGTTTCGCAGCTAAAACCTCTTCCCTTTTATTTTTGCGAATTTGTGAAGCCTGATGACGGCGATCGTCTTTTCTCAGCTCACGACGATTACGTCGAACAATTTCTTTCAAGTTGACTTTTCCTGAAACACAGCTTTAGGTAAATAAAGTTATAATAGCGATTTTATAGGTTTAGTGAAAACATCCTAACCTTTTACAGCAGCGGCGATGCCTCGTTTTGAGCGATGGCGTGATTTGTGAGTTTTATTGCTCTGCTTGAAATGGCCGGGACGATGTGGTTGTTGCATTTTGACTGTTTTTCAAAACTTAAATGCAAGCGCTAGCGAATTTCAATTTGAATTTATTTACTAATAAAAAAAGCACATGTTGACAGTCTTTTTGATAAGGTACTTTATGACTTGGTAACTAATACCATTAAGTCACGTCTCTTATTTTTATGAAAAATGATAATATGGCGTGAAATCAAGATGATTAATTTGAGACATTAATCGACTGAAATGAAATGAAATGAAATGAGATGAGATGATATGGGATGAAATATAATCTCAGTGTAATGTAATCATTTACTGAGATTTTTTCAGTGAACATTTTGGAGGATACCAAGAAGTTACGTCCAGCAACTTTATACACTTTCACAGATATTAAACAGCTATTAAACCACCGTTATTATGTGTATAACACATGTAAACCTGAAGAAACATTAAATAGACAAAATAAAACAAATCACACTTCACTCCTCGCGTTCCCGCCAAAAAGTCCCAATCTGGTCATAGATAATATACCAGTCATAGATAATACAAAACTGTTACATCCGTTTTTTTTTCCTTTTCCTCCATTGAAAAGGCAAAAGAAAAATAACTTAATTAATAATTAATTTTGTAATAAAGGTTAAAGCCATGTCTTTTCCATGAAATTTAAACAAAATGACTGGAAAAGGAATTACATATTTAAATTAATTTAAAACAGTTTTAGACAGCGGTGCATTCCAGTTTAATTAGGGACCTTTTGACTTAATTTTAGGACGCTTAATATTTAAGCGATTTCATTTTCTCAGTTTAGAATTTCTTCCTCTTTATACAGTTTTTAATGGTTACAAGTTATTAGGTAATCATATAATTTTAGCAAAAGTCTCTTAGGCAGGGAAATGAAACAAAATTGCTGAACGTTGCTTTCCGCCAGTTTAAAAAACATATATATTTTTTTAATTTAACTATTGTTATTGTCTATTCATTTGTACACGATCGGGTTTTATAGCGTGATTACTGGAACTATAAACTATTTCTGGTTCAAAAACGGCAGTTTCAGAAGATGTCGAATTTTGAAGTCGTCGTGGCCTAAAGGATAAGACGTCCGGTGCATTCGGATCTAGCGATGCACCGATGTTCGAATCGCGCAGGCGGGTACCAATTTTTCTTATGAAATACGTACTTAACGATTGTTCACGATTGACTTCCACGATGAAGAAATAACATCATGTAATAAAAATCAAACCCGCAAAATTATAATTTGCGTAATTACTGGTGGACCTTTTGTGAGTCCGCACGGGTAGGTACAACCGCCCTTCCTATTACTGCCGTGAAGCAGTAATGCGTTTCGGTTTGAAGGGTGGGGCAGCCGTTGTAACTATACTGAGATTTTAGAACTTATATCTCAAGGTGGGTGGCGCATTTACGTTGTAGATGTCTATGGGCTCCAGTAACCACATAATATCAGGTAGGCTGTGAGTTCGTCCACCCATCTAAACAATAATAAAAAAAAGATAGATTTGTTAGTGATGAATCTTGTTGTTGAAATCTTGCTGAGTTTTCTAGAGATGTTTCATATGCAGTTTGTCCTACAGGTCAGAATTACTTATATACCAAAAAGGACTGCAGAATATAAAATATTTAATCCATGAACTTAAATTTCACTGTAAAAGGCTGTTTTAATTGATTCAGAGTAATTAAAAGTATAAAAAGTATCAAAGAACCATTAAAACATTGTGTTTTATTAGAAAGGGATGGACGAAATTTGGTGAAAAATGGAATTTGATTCGTTCAGCAAAATGTCGTTTTTTCCTTACCTATGCTGATAGCCTTGAGAGGCTATTTCAGCTTCTCATTCAAGTGTAGATGAGCTCACGGGGCTCAAACTGGAAGTGTTGCTATCACTGGCCCTAGCAAGAGAAGTGCTTCGCAGAATCCACCACCATATCGGAAACGCGACCCACTCAGAAGATCCGGCGAGAAACTCAGTGCGCTGTGTCTATGGGTTAATTCACTCGTCGAGCCCTTCGTCGCAAGCCACGGGTTCGACGAAGACGGTGACCGGAAATGTCGTGATTTGTTTCTAAATATGTATATAAATAAAAATGAATATAAGTTTAGTTCCAATAATAGTAGTTTTATTTTTCCAACTGAACAGGCAAATATATCATACTATACAGCCTAATCTTTTATATATAATTATTAATTTTTTTTCATGAAAAATGATAATATGAAGTGAAATGAAATGATGTTTATTAATATGAAAGACGGCATGAAATGAATAATGTGTAACCAACTCATTTCAATTCTCGAGTTTGTGGGATACCAATGAATAAACACGTTCTAGACGTTGATATATTTTTTAAATGGCTTTTATTCTAGTACTGTACTTCTTATATTTTTGATGTTGACGAATGTATGCAACTTAATGAATTTCCCACACGATATTTTTACTTGGTAGCATGTTGTCTGGGGTAAGGATGTCAACATTATCCACGCCAACATCACAGGTCACGTGACGTGACATTGTGGACGTGTCATTTGCGGACAGCTCGTTGGCGGCGTTGCGCAGACTCTTTTCGGTGAAAAAGTCCTATTGGAGTGTTATTAATGAACAAAAGTTGAATGGTTATTAACGGATTGATCAGTTAATATTTTAGTTAGGATAGTTAAATCGCAATAAATCAAAATGGGAAGTGAGTATCGTTTAAAGTTTTCATTGAATATTGTGTATGAATTCGAATCTGTGACTCCTAAAATCATTGGCGTGATTTTACGGATTAGACTGTGTATTAAACTTATGTTTTAATGTTGCGTTTGATGTATTTGCAGTAAAATTTTTGGAAGTAATTAAGCCGTTCTGCAGTATATTGCCAGAAATAGCGAAACCAGAACGTAAGGTAATTTAATCTTTAATCTATTTTGTTAGATTGAACCCTAGCTCAGCGTCTCCTTTACTCTGAAGTACAGTGCTAGACGAGATTTTCGTATTTTACAATCATTTCACCAATCTTCCACGTAAGTTATCGAGTGAAAGTTTTCTAACCTTATTCTTCTAAATGTAACTGTAAATGGTGCCAACATTTTGTTCCAATGTGTTCAATTTCTGAATGAATGTATTATTTTCCAGATTCAATTCCGAGAGAAAGTATTATGGACAGCAATCACATTATTTATTTTCTTAGTATGCTGCCAGGTAATTAATTTGCACTTATATGTACCATATGTCTATATTTTATGAAGCATCATATAAGTATATTTTTAATTAAGTTATGTTTATCAAAATTATACCTAAATATTGTTATACAGAACTTTCAATTTAAAACATTAGTACATTATTAGACTACAGAAGAAGTAGATTAAAACTAGGTATAAAATTAATGCTGTAATGGCATTAAAATAGCAGAAAAAAACCACTTTGTTCAATATATTTTCCAGATTTCTTTTTGACCTTCTATAAAATGCCACATACACAACTTTTTAAGTACATTACTATTAAGTGACAATAAATGATAAAGTTTAAGGATTTTTAGCATTAAAACATTGGATATGTATTTCATTAGGTATTATTTCAATAATATGTTCAATTTCAGATTCCCTTATTTGGTATAATGTCATCAGACAGTGCCGATCCCTTCTATTGGATCCGTGTAATTCTTGCATCAAACAGAGGGACATTAATGGAGCTTGGTATCTCACCTATTGTAACATCAGGACTTATCATGCAGTTGCTTGCTGGTGCTAAAATCATTGAAGTTGGTGACACTCCGAAAGACAGGGCTTTGTTTAATGGTGCACAGAAATGTAAGTGTTGGTTCATTATAATCAAATTTACACAATATTCATATTAATCTGATTGGTGCTTCATGTAAAACATACTATTAATAGCTATTATTTTTAAATGGCTTATTTAAATGAGGTCTTACGAGTCTTGAAACTGGCAAAAATGTTAATTTGATAGAATAAAAATAAATAATTTTAATAATAGAAATTTCATACTCTATGAACCCATCGAAAGCACAGACAGCTGACAGATCCTTGTTCGTGTGTGTGCAAGAAATATTTAACTACATATAGCATAATGAAGTATTTTTTAAATTTAGTTTCATGTATTACTATTACTACTATTGGCTTTCGGTTACATCAAAAGTATTAAATATTGGAAAAGAAATATATTTAAACGATAATCATAAGTGAATACACTTATAATTTCAGCTCGATTCTAAATAAATAACGAAATATATATTTTCAGTATTTGGTATGGTGATTACTGTTGGTCAGGCTATTGTTTATGTAATGACTGGAATGTATGGTGAACCCAGTGAAATTGGTGCCGGAGTGTGCCTCCTCATTATCATACAACTGTTTGTGGCCGGTCTTATTGTGTTGTTGCTCGATGAATTGCTCCAGAAAGGTTTGTAAAAATATATTTGCTCATTTGTTTTTTCCTTCCATAGACCGGAGAATTGTTGACAATTTTTCTGCTAAAATTGTCATAGACATCAACGTCACTCATCCTCTGTAATGAAATTGAAGGTAGCAAAGTGAATAAAAAACTTGTTATGAAATTAGAATGAGTAAAAATTTATAAACCGTTATGATATGTTGGCAGATCAATGATTAGTTTATTCAGTTAGTTCAAAGCTCATCACTATTGCATATACATTGATTCAACTATAATAAAAACCAAATTCGAGTTCTAAGTGAATAGGCATCCCAAAGTAAACAAAAATAGTGAAAATGATAGCTTTTTTAAAAAATTCAATTGTATATTAGTACATGTACTAGCATTATAATTAATTTAGCATGTTGGTAATAAATTTAAATAATTTATGATTTATTTATGTTTCAGGATATGGATTGGGTTCTGGTATCTCTCTGTTTATTGCTACAAACATCTGTGAAACCATTGTATGGAAGGCATTTTCACCAGCCACTGTTAACACTGGTAAGTTGTAATTTTAAATACATATCATTGAAATTACCCTTTATCACTCTTAAAAAAGGAAATAAGAAAATAATAATAATTTTGTTAATAAAGGTCGCGGCACAGAATTCGAGGGTGCTGTGATAGCATTGTTCCATCTGTTGGCAACACGTCCAGACAAAGTGCGAGCTCTCCGTGAAGCCTT